ATTATCTTTTTAAGTAACTCTTCTCATTCTATTATCTTAGATCTTCTTAGTATACCCTTTATATCTGACATTTTATATTTATATTTTCTTTTTCTAAGCTACATTTTGATAATTTCTCCAATACTATCAAATTTCTCACTAAATTTCCCTCTATCTTTTACATATCAAGAGAATTTTAAATGCAGTTAGTTTGTTTTTCTGTTCTAGAAAGCCTGTCTGGTTCTTCATCAACCCTGCTTGCTTATTTATATTATTTATTATTATTATTTGAAGAATTATCTGTTCATATTTTTAAAAAATGTTTTATTCCTTGAAATATACTAAACATTCATATTTTTATTCTATAAAAAGTTCAATAGCTGAAGTCTTGTGTGTTTGTGTGAGTGTGTATATGTGAGTATATGTGTATTATTTTTTCCTTTTTCTTTGCTAGCATTTAACTGTCAGTGCCTAATTTGCTTAGGGGTTTAGTGATTTTATTAGTGAACTCATATTCCCTGAAACTTATGTGTGGCAAATTTATCTGGCCCGAGTTGTGTTTCTTCAAAAATTTATGTTTACTTTTGTTATTTGCTTTTGAATGATAGCAACTCAGAATTACAGATTTGTTTTAATTTAAATTCTGAAGTAGAGGTTTTTTCAGACTGTATATGCAGCAGGATTTGGGCCACATAAGTTTGTAGGAACAGACTTGCAGTTCCACAACTGCATAATTTTTCTCTCTTTCCCACCTCTTTATCAAGAAGAGTGGCAAGAGAAAAAGTTTCTTTTCTGTCCTCTTTTGTACAGTGGGTTTACTCTCCACTCTCCAGTCCCTGAGAGTGAATAGACCTCATTGCACTAATCCAAGAGTGACCACTTGTGGTGAATTTTATGGCATTCTGCAGAAGAATTCAAGGTGCCCCCTAGAGTTGTCCCATATGATGGTTCTGGTTGAAATTGCATTCTTATGGGTTCTAGCTCTTTATGCAGGATGTCCCTTACCCTTCTTCTGGTCCAGGTCTTTCTCTGGCACAGTTATTAAACAGAAACTCAAAGTTACTGGGATTAACCAATATCCTCCAAGGCAAAGCTGGCTTTAGTACTAGCTTCTTTCTGAGGATACTGATTTTACTGTGTTTGTTTGTTTGTTTTATTTTATTTACTAGAGGCCCGGTGCATGAAATTCGTGCAGGGGGAGGGGGCGGGGGGTGTCTCTCAGTCCAGCCTGCACCCTCTCCAATCTGGGACCCATTAGGGGATCTCCAACTGCCCAAGGGATTGGGCCTAAACAGGCAGTCGGACATCCCTCTCACAATCAAGGACTGCTGGCTCCCAACCACTCGCCTGCCTGCCTGCCTGATTGCCCCTAACCCCTCCCCTGCGAGTCTGATCGATGCCTAACTGCTCCCCTGCTGGCCCAATTGCCCCTAACTGCCCTCCCCTGCCATCCTGGTCACCCCTAACTGCCCTCCCTTGCCAGCCTGGTCACCCCTAACTACCCTCCCTTGCCAGCCTGGTTGCCCCTAACTGCCCTCCCTTGCAGGCCTGATTGCCCCCCACTGTCCTCCCTTTCAGGCCTGGTCCCTCCCAACTGCCTTCCCCTGCTGGCCATCTTGTGTCCACATGGGGCAGCCATCTTTGACCACATGGGGGTGGCCATCGTGTGTGTTGGAGTGATGGTCAATTTGCATATTACTCTTTTATTATATAGGATTTTTGTTTTTTGGTCACCACTGTTTTCTTACTTTACTGTCAATTTGGCAAGTAATTAAAAGAAAAATATGTTTTTATTTTATGCAGTGTTTTAATTATTTTAAGTAAGATAGTCATTCAATTTAGAATATCTATTTTGCCAGAATTTGAATCACACATAGTTAGTTATTTGAATATATGTAGAGAACCATTTATGACCACTGCATTTAATAGAGTGAAAACATTAGTAGACACAAAAAGAACTAGTGCTTTAAGACTGTTTTGTTGCCAGGCCATAATATACACCATTATGTCTAGATAAAATTACTTGCCTTGTCATAGATCTTGTTTTAGACTAAACTAATTATTAACTATATATATTTAATAAAAAACAATCATTTTAAAGTGTTTTTCAATCCTTTTCCATCTGTGTGTTCTGCAGTACAAGGTAGCTTAATACAGTTACAAGCATTTTCATAAAAATATCTTCCTATTAGCATCCTATATAATAAAAGGCTAATATGCAAATTGTCCCCACGGGGTGGGAGCTCGGCCAACCAGGAATTAGATGTGCGCTGACTACCAGGGGATGGCGCAGAACATGGTGGGCATGGGCGACACTGTGCTGGCAGCAGGCAGCAGTGGAGATGCTGCCGGCCCCGGTGGGCCCCCGACAAGAGAGGGACCACGGAGGGATGGTGGAGCAGGTAGCGGGCAGCACTAGGCCAAGGCAGGTGTGAAGGGAGGCCCTGGCCAGCAGATGGCAGCCACTAGGGACCCTATCTGTGCATGAATTTCACGCACTGGGCCTCCAGTTATTATATAAAATAATATGAATTTTCTTTTGAGATGAAATTTTTCTTTTTAGTGTATAATTTACCTACACCTTACTTCACTTAGAATATTTATTACAATCACATTGTAGTGCTCATGAATGAGACGTTCAACAGAATAGATTTTTAGGATGGAATTATTTTATACATTTATTTTCTTTTTCTTTTCTTTTAGTACCTGATAGTGCACCAGAAAATATTGCTTACAAAAATATTTCCTCTGGAGAGATTGAAATATCATTCCATCCCCCACGTAATCCTAATGGAATCATACAAAAATATACAATTTATCTCAGGAGAAGTAATGGAAATGAGGAAAGAACTATAGATACAACCTCTTTGATCCAGAACATTAAAGGTAAAAAAAAATACATACACACAC